AGCAGCTCCATTTGAACTGACGTTACAGTACATTTCCCGAGTACATAAATAGCATCCCCGCACTGTGTATGGACGGAATTCATCGTAAATACTTTCACATCCTGCCTCTCTTTTAATTTAATCTCTTTAATAAGGACCATACAAATGCTGCATTTAAAGAAAATGATAAGATTTCTGCCTCACAACTAGAGTGGTTCTAGAGACTTGTCCTAATTTGTAGGTGGACAATAACTTTCAGTGATAATACACTATCACTTTGTGATATTCAAAAGTGTAGAGATTCAAACAGCACAGTACAGTACCCAGAAGAGTTCTGGTTAAGTAATAGTACATATAGTGCAGAGCTGACTAAAGAAAAGAAGTGATCAAAGCTGACATGTCTTGTTCTGATGGGGCTGTTTAGCAAATACAGGCTACATATTTATCCCATGTGCTTTTTTTAACTAATGATTCCTTGATTAATTCAAAAATAATCTCTTTTTCTTTATAATCTTTCTGTCCTCGGTTAATACACATTGTGTGCTGTTGGGAACAGAGGGGAGAAGTAAAATGCAAGGAGCTCTGGGGGTGTATGGCTTTGTAATTTCATCCTTGAAATTCGTGATTACAAACAGGACAACTTTTTTAATTTGCTCTATTGTCTCGATTCCCTTGGCTGACAGTCTGCTCTGTGAGCTAGGCCTTTTAATCAATCACCTAGATAATCAAATGTCACTGGCTATCTGCTCCATGTAATTACTTTTGCAATTAAAAATCAATCTCCAGTCACCCTGTCTAATTAGAGGGATGGGCAGATTTTCATCTGGATTGATTTTTTAATAAATATTGACTTAAAATGCCATAATCCCATCATATTCTTTCATTTTCTTGGTATTTTTTTAAAAGAAGCAAGCAAACGCCCGAATCAACACAGAGGAGGATTCAGGAGACATCAAAGGATTTTCTTACTTCAGTCTCCCCGGAAAAAGCACTGTACCCAGGAAGGGTTTATCTGGTGCTAATGACACCACTCAACTGCCCCCTGCGCTGGAGAACAAAAAAAAATGGTAGACTAATAATCTACACAGCAGCACACGCTTTCATTAAAAACACATTTGCTGACAAATATAACCTCATACACAGAGGCAGAATAACTAATGATGGCCCCTCCAGATGGATAAAAAACACATTTATAAAAGTCCCAGAAATTCTGGGGAGGGTGGGGGGAAGAGAAAGAGTGCCTTGTTTTCATGCTGCACTTATATCGAGTGACACATTGTATTGAAACTCTTACACGGTTCCCTCACTGTATTGCACTCTCCGACTATAAATCAGCCTGACTCTGGAATACCTAGAGAAGATAAAGGCACCCAGGGAGTCTCACGACTTTAAAATAATTGTCACTGTGGACGTTTGTGTCCGTATTTAAAGAACATCATAATTATAGTTTTATCTGCATAGAGCCCCTCACAAGCAACAGCTCTGTATATTTCAGCAAGGCCTGGCCTTCCCTATTGTGTCACTCCTTTGCTATTCAAATCCCATCAACTTCTCCAGCTTTCACCATTGCTCTCAATCCTACAGCTACAAGTGACAATGCTTTAATTAACATTTCCTCCTCCTGCTTCTCCTACACTTCCCCTCAAAAGGAGGCGTGCAGGACCCCTGGCTGAGCAGAACTGTCTTACCTCTCACACTGTGCATTGACACCACCATCGTTTCTCAAACTTAAATTAAATGTTAATTAACATTACCATAGGAAAAGGAGTTTAGACATGCGACTGAAGCTTCTGCTGCCTTTTCATTGTTTGGCTTTCACTGTTTAGAGACATCTTGCAGTCAGAATGATGCAATTCTTCTCCTGCACACAATAGCTGGATGGAAAAAAAGGCTTAGTATGGACAACCAAAAGAATGTCGCTTATATATATATATATGTAATGTGCTGGTAAATATTTGGAATATGCAGAAAACACACGATGCAATTAAAACATTTCTTCAGCAATAGGAGAGGATGACTACATTTTTGTAATTCTGTGCACTTCAACAACAACAATACATAATTACAAAGGTGCTGCTGACCTACATTCCAAAAAAGAGAATGAAGGAAGACAGTCCACACATTTTTCTCCAACGAGTGTGATTGGCCAGCAGTCTTCACTGATCACTTGTAGGATAGAGCAGCAATAGACATTTCCCTTTGCACAAAGTAATAAGAGCAGCACTTATCGCTTGTTGCCTCAAGCCAGTTGCAAAGGAAATTAGAAAAGTCCAATGAAGCCGAGAAGTAATTAATCATCATAGAGTGGAACCTGTCAAATTGGAGGGGTCTTTCAACTGATAATGCTGCCCAGCACAATTTAGACTGATAGAAATTTGATTTCTTTTACCTCTGGCAAAAACAGAAAAGACCACAGTTAGCACAACTGTGGCCAACCGGTCTTTAACGATTGCCTGCCCCTTTTAAACCTGATGTCCTTATCAAGTTTAAGTGTCTCGATCAATACAGTTCCTTGCTGGTGTTCCAGAAATAGGTGGTGTTGGTTTTTTTTTGAATTCTTGCATGCTTTTATTATACTGTTCGTTTACTCTGCTTGTGCAAACTGTCGCCCAGAAAACAGAAAAATAATAAAGTGCATATATATATAATCTGTACAAACGTGTGGGTATTTGTAGTGGAACCTGAATTATTGAAGATATGACGCCAATCATGCAAATCACGCCTGCAGCTTCACTAGACGGCAAAGACATTTATTTGCCAATAGACTATCAAGGTATGTTATGGAGTTCTGCTATTTTAAAATTCTGCAAGGAAAGACCAGGTCAATTCAAATAAATCTCCTAACCCGGAACAAGGACCATCATTACTATAATCTGTATTAAGAATTTAATAATAAGAAAAAAATAATGAAAGTGGCAAACCCTTGAGACACCATCCCACTACTTAGGGTAAGTTAAGAATTCTACTCTCCTTCTATTCACTGAAAACCATGCGAGTCTTGGAGATTGAGTTTTTGAGGCTCTCTATGACGGGGTGCTCCTATATCACATATGCGAACAGCAGAATGGAAGCCACCAGTGGGAAAGCGTCAAACCAATGCAAAGCTGTCAATTAAAATAAAATATTAATGGAAGGCTCGTTAACTTATGGCTTGTGTTTTTAAGCACTCTCTGAGGAGGCCGGGGTTGAGTTTGGGAACTGATAATTACCCCTAAGTAAATTAAATGGAGAGAGAGAGAAAAAACCCCCAGCAAATTACAGCAGAGGCTGACTAAAAAGCAGAGTTCCCACAGACAACATGGCCTCCCCCGTCACACCGCCCGTGAACCCACACGCAGGCTGGCGGTTCTTTCACAGGGTCAGGTGTCTGCCACAGGGACACACTCCGGAATGTTTTGAAACAATGCTTTAAAAGCCAATTTCCAAACGGAATTATTGACAGATTGGGCGTCAGGTGCAAATAAACGTGATGACTTTTAAAAATCCCGCACGATAACAGGACCCAGGCTAAGCAAACATTGCACGCGCACCCTGAAACGCAAGATGAAAGAGAAACAGCTGCTCTGCTGCGGTCAGAAACCCTTATCGCCTGACCAAACCTTTGTTAGGCTCGGTAAGCACAAGTGGGCCTACGCTAGCGGCAAGTTCAAAGCCTTCTCGCCCTTTCTTTCCTCTTGGTATAGATAATGCAATCAAAACTCATTCTATCCCTTGAAATATTCTGACGAACATGATATCGCTTGACCTCCCTGCACCTGTAACCTCTGTGAAACACTTTGGGAAGTGCCTCTTTATTGTTTATGCTCTTTATCTCCAATAAGGCTTCTGTATTTTTCTAAGCATCAGCCATGTGTAAGGGGGGAATCTCTCGGCTCAATCTGCTGCGCTACAGCTCGTAATTCCTCTGTTTTAAAACCCTCCCAAGAAGAGCATGTACACCCCCAGGCATAAGGACAATCAAGCAAGAGAACAGGGGATGCTTACACATCTGTTCACACATTTACAGATGGGATCTGGATATAGAGGGCTGAGAAGAGGCGAGGTTTGGACTGCACTGGACTCTGGGCCACAGGGGCCAAAGGTTCAAATCTCAGGTGGGATGCTGAGCTCTAGAGTGAGGTACTTCACCCCACTTGCTCCCCTAAAACACCCAGGGTCATCAGTGTAATTGAGGAGCTGTTTTCTACTGACTTAACTGATAAAATAAGGCAATAAATGGAAAAGCCACAAGGACAATTTGGACCTCAAACGTGCCAAGGGAAACTTGAAAATCTTTCATTGGAAGTTCCTCTCAAAGCCTCTCTGCCGTTCCAGCACTATTTTCAGATTCAGAGAATCTGACAATAGCCATTATATGCAATTGCTTTTATATGAAAAAAAAAAACATTTGCTATAAGCCTTGGAAAAAAAACGAAACTGAAAAACCAACTGCTGCACAGTGATTTTGATTGTCGCGACCTTACTCATTCCTATTGCGTGCTTGTTACCTTCTGATGCAAAGCAAGGTATTAGATACAGATTTCCCCTTTTACTGCTTGACACGAGCTGCAAGTTTTATTATAGGACCTGACACGCATAATCATAACAATAAGTATTTGCATAGATGGGGAAGAGTAGCTATGTTTTGATCCACTTGATTATGGTTTTCCCTAATAACATGGACATTGTTTCAACATGCTAACACGCTAACCCCCAGAGCTGTGTCATTTTCCTGGGGGGGAGCATTAAAAACAGCTGGCAGGCATTTGCTGTGTAACCGTTTGAAGCTTGTTCTCATAAAACAAATACATAAAAAGAATAAAATAGCACAGTGAACAATTTTCACAAAACTGCACACTTGCAACCACGGACGTTTAGTAAACAATTAGCTGTTTCAAGTGACAGATTAAACCCAGATTGGAAGTGACTGAGAAAACAGGATAATGTTTCTCTAATCAGTTTTGTCTGAGAAATGCAGATTGTGAAATTTTCCAGCTACTTCCTTAGAAAAACGCACTTCACTTCTTATTAGCTATGATTACCTTTTTGGACGCGAGGCTCGGGTCCTGCCTGAGCAGCTGACTGAGGGCGACCGTGTCCCCCAGCGAGGCATGGTGGATCCAGACCCGTTCCAGAGGGTCCAGCTGCAGCCGGGGGAACAGCGACTGGAGGCGAGGGGGGACACCCGACGGACAGCGGCGAGAGATGCGGGGTATCGCACAGCCAAAAGGGGGAAAAAAAATCCAGATGAGAGAATCAGACTTTTTTATTACACAGGAAAGGAGGAGAGAATCTAAAAATCCATGCTACATGAAGAGGCTGTTGGATTTATTTCTTGTACAAAGTTTCCAATAAAATGATTCCTTTGTTATGCCAGGTAATAGATTTGAAAAACAGCATTACCAAAGGTTAAATGTAGAACAGATGTAAGGTATAATATACAACATGATCAAAGCCCAGGTTTCGAGACAGATACGCTAGCAAATGATGATAGATCGCTCCCTGCAGAATGGTAAGGAGCACAGAAATGTAACGATGTACTAGTGAGGGCCGGGAGTGAGAAAGAGTAGGGACTGGACAGCGAAAACAAATGTCCAAGTTAATTCGGATGATCCTCTGCAGAAATCGGAGCGATTATGTACCTACAAAGGAATCAAAGTTTGGACAATATGCAACTGATTTTTTTTACAAACAGCTCAAAGATTTCATCCGTGATCTTTGGGTGCTTTTATTGGATGAAACCATAGCCTTGCACTTTAAAAAGTTCAGAGATGCACTATCCATGTGTAAGTCACTGAAAGATATCAAGAGAATGAAAGTAATGTGGCAGAAAGCAAAAATGATTCATGGTTTCAGAAACAAAGATTAAGGCCCATTTCCACACCCTTAACAAGAATGTCACATTACGCAAAACACAAGTCTCACAAATAAGGGGTTTAAAATATATAATTTTGCAGGTAGAATATCAAATCTCCAAGGGAACCTTATATATATTTCTGATTACACCAAATGCAGCTCAAGTAATGTTAGCCCAACAAACTTAGACTGATTGTGTTTTTCATGCTGTGCAATGTAGGAATATGATTATTTTTAATTTACACCTTCTTTTCTGATGCACTCCATGCAGGCATCTGGCAACCTCTTGGCCAACTAATGTATGATCATTTGTTGTGTGCTAGATGTATCCGGAGGAAAAGAAAAAAAAAATGGCACAACATAATGTAGCACACAAATTGCGTGTCATACATTTAATCAAGACAATGTCCTTTAACCAAGACAATGCCTTATCAAGAATCACCTTTGGGATTTCTGGAACTCCACGTGCCACTGAAGACCCATGAACAGAAGTTTGTGCACGAACAAGTAACTATAAGAAACACCGAGGAGCCTGGGCATAAGGAGGCGATTGTTAAGTCTAACAGCAGGGGAGCGCTGTGATAATTTGATCTGAACTCTGTTAATAAATCACTGCACCATTACTCGTAGTTTAGTATCTGTTTATGCATCTACAAATTGAAACCCCACTGGCTAAGCACTGCAGTACAGCACTTGGCACAATAACACGTTGGCCCCACGATTAGTTCAAGGTGGGGAAGGGTTACCCAGCCACCCCACTTCCACGGCTCCCTTTCCATGTTTTGTCTCTCCCTGCTGAGGTAAAGAGGCTCGGACATATGTAAGTAATAAACCCAAAGGCCTCTCTGTCTACTACAGGCGGAGAGGAAGGAATGCAGAACAAAACTATAAAATAATAATGGACGCGGAGGCACAGAAAAAGCACATCTGCAGGAGAGCAGCGGGAAACAGCGCTGCTCCACTTTAAGATGTGGCGGTGCCCTTCTCTGACCCCCAGACGTACTGTTAAAGGCAAGGCGCACCGATCCGGGGAAACTGACGAGAGATCAAAAGGTTGATAGATGAAGGCCAAAGGGGTGTTTGACCTGGCCTCTGAGCTTTAGCTAAGCTTCTTACTGCAAGAGGGACCGCATCATGTTGTAATAAATGGCCAACTTTCCTTCACGTTAGATAACCAAAAGGAAAGCAAAACACCAGACTTAAAGCCAAACTCAGGTAGTTAAAAAATAAATATCTGGGCAACAGAATAGATAACAGTGACTGTAACTTATTAAATGAGCATGTCTTTTGAACTCACTTTCACATTCTTTAGCCTTCCATTATTCAGAACTAATATAAGAAGCTAACCATCAACAAGCAGCTCCAGACTTTTTTAATTACAATATATGTAAGATCAGCTAGCCAGAGAACAAAGCAATTCCTCACTTTTGACATACTTGGAGCATTTTATTTTTCTCCATTCATCAGAGGCATAAACATTTGTGTGATGGTCTCACCAGTGGCACGTTTTTCTCGAACTTGCAGCTAACGTGTACAGAATACAAGTCTGTAAGGAAACATCACTGCAGCAGTAGCACAGTTTTAGCGTGGCACTTTCTGTACAGTTTAGCAGGTTCTTTAAGACTACAAAAAACGACGAGAAAGCAGTGAAGCAGATCAAAGGAAATAGAAAAAAAAGCCAAACGTTTAAGGTTCTGCTACCTCTTCTGGGATACCCGCATATCCCACAATGCAGCAGGGCAGGAACTGCCCACTGAGATGGGAGGGCTCTTTCCTGGACCCCATTAGTACATCCATGAAATTAATAGTGACATCATGTTGCTCAGTCAACAAACACAAGTTGATTGATGAAGACAAACGGCTTCAGTGATGACCAGGCACTAGTTTTCCTGAGAGAGCCGAGCTCCTGCAGGCTGCACAAAAAGGATATATTTCTGGTGCTGCTGTGGTATTAAATGTCACTTTTGTTGGTTCTATCTCTGCTGCTGTTTGTCTTAAACATTTTTTCTATTTAATTCCTACATGCAAACTATGTTATTCAAACCATCCATCAAAATGGTATCGCGAGAAAGCAATTAATAAAATTCCAGAGCAATATGTTTCCTGAGTAATCGAACTCTACTGACTCCCCCGTCTTTAAATACACCATCCATATACTGCTTTATACTCCGTTTTCCTGCTCCTGACATTACTTCACAAGCATGTTGAAACCCTCATGTTAGGCACTGAAGGTAAGCCAAGCTGCTTTCAAGTTCAACATACCCTGACGTAATCAGTATAATCCTTGCAGTAATGTAATATTTTCCTTTCAGATCTGGGGCTCAGCACTGATAATGATAAATTGTAGTGTTGTAAATTAACATTACAAGGTCACTTCTTCATCTACATTCCTCACATAAAAGATGGAAAGCTCTGGTTCTATAAAAAAGACACAAAAACCAGCAAGCTGAGTGGGCTCCTTCATGTCATTAAAAGGCAAAAGGAATCCAGGGTCTATCTTTGTTCGCCTGGCGGTTTGCTGAGAGCTTGAACAAACACTAATGAAAATTAAACACACAAACACACAGGGACTGTCTTCAGCCCAACAAGCGGCTAACAGCATTTGTCATACCACCACTTTCCTGGCAAGTTTGAGTTCAGAGCCTTGCCGGAAAAAGGCAGACTTTTAACATCTTAGGACAATGTCACATACTGTTTTACTTAAGGCCTCAAAGAATTACAGTGGAAGTCCCTATTGGCACGGTGTGTTAGAGCCGAATCTCAGAGCTGTTAAGACAATCCATTTATCTTTGAAAATGGGAACAGCCATTATCAGCTGTGAGGTAAGTCAGGAATTAGTTCATACAAGAAACGAGGAGAATAACAACTAATAAAGCAGATAACGATCTATACTTGCAGAATACGCAAGAGAAGCAAGAGCTCCGTCCTCTAAGGCTACAAAGGAACGCATCAAGTCTGAGTTAAGCCAGCAAATCAAGGCCATTCCCTCGCAAGAAGGAAAGTCGTCCCCGTGTGATCCCATTTGCTTTCCTCGGCAGCATTAAAGTCTAAGTGAAAAACAAACTGGGGAACAAGGACAAATCTAGTCCACTTTCTTATTAACACCTGAGCCAGAATATCCCCCTTTACTCGAGTTCCACCAGAACTGGGCTCCTTGACAATGAAGACAATTAAAACCCTCTCTACAGAGACACTGGCTGGCTGGCAACGCTGGCTTACTTCACACAGGAAGTGTGCACCAAAGCCCAACAAGCCACACAGGACAAGCCAGTTTCAGTTATTTGGTTATCTTTTCTGTTCTTTGGGTTCAGAATTCACCAAGACAAAATATCCGCCAGGCCTTTCTGACAAATACTCAGAGCGCTTTTGATGAGCTCTGTAAGAAATGGGAATCAAACTTAATTAAAGTATTTATAGGGAGCGTCAGGGAATTGGCCAAAGTTAAGTCTGCAGGTTATCTAGTTCCAATCCAAAAGTACAAAAGTTAAGCTGTCCGCATTGCAGGAGCTCTACTTTGGTGCAAACATTTTGTACATACTGTGCAGAAAGCTGTGCGGATTATGTTACGGTACAGTATTTACTCATCTGAGCAAATTCTTTACTTATTTTTAAATATTTTAGATAAATTATAAAGAGCTTTTTCCATTTTTAGAGTACCTGTAGCGACACTTTGGCTTAAGTCTTCGAGGGTTAAGCAGTACCTGTCCTTCGACAGACAGATCAGATGTCCTTATTAGGCGGACAATGTACAGCACCAGGATTAAACCCAGGCTGGGCTGGGCCAGTCTAATGAGAGCAGTGCATGATATGCAGTTGTCAGCTCCAGATCGGTTTTCGGGGCACTGTGATTGTCAGACTGCACTCTAGGCCACAAGGTTACACAAGGTCACAGTCCTCTGATGTGGGAAAAGAGAGAAAAATAGCCTGTATCCCAGTGTGGGCACATGTTTGCAAGAATGCTGTGCTGTGAATTTTTAATTCTTTTTTGCAAAACTGTGGCTCCATCTGCTTCATAGATTTCGTATTGTTGACTGCAAGGCAAAACGGCAGGCAGAGACTTAGCTCTTTCTAAGGGATTACAACAGGGTAATGCACAGTAACTGAAGGTGTGATGTCGGGTAAAAAAAGCATGCGAGCACATCAGGGAGTCAGACAGACTGCATCTCTGCCTTTGTGTCATAACAAGCTGAGCAGGTCCAAATTGAAGCTCAAAATGATCAAGTTAGACACAAAAGATAAAAAACCATGCAACACTCACGTGCAGTGGCTGATGAAAATGCATTGAATTTTCATTAAGATTTCTTAAACA